GAGAGAAAGGGAAGAACATCTTTACAAAATGACAAAGCAGTGAGGAACTTGAGAATTCTGTATAAATTCCAAGGTTTTATGGGCAATAGAAAATTGTATCTGGTCAGAGGTGGCAGGGAAATGAGAGCAGAGAAGAATTCAAATCAGACAAGGAAACTATTGATTGCAGAACCAACACAATAAAGAATCATGCAGAGTATCAAAAGCATCCCCAAAGGAACAGGACTCCCACCTCCATGCAGGTTCTGAGTACATTCAGGAAACAAAATAAAGGAGCCTTTATTTGTTTAAAAATGTTCTTAAAATACTTACTCAATCTGCTTTGTGTACACCAGGGTTTTGTTTTTTTTTTGGCAGCCTCAGTGACTTCTGTAGGTTAAGAACTGTAACAAGGAAACACATTGACTAGGAAGGTCCATCACGGAGAAGGAAACAGAACTGGTTTCTTAAGAGTAACTATGCGGGTATCACAGTGGCTCTGCCCGGACACTTCTTCTAGTGTTGCAACTCCTTGTGCCCTTGGGAGATCCTAGAATTTAGCAAGGGGATTGTCATTTTGTTTCTGTGTTGGGGACAGCTCTGTACTTGTCTCTTCCCTGAGCAGCTTTCCTTAGTAATGATGTGAATTGAAAACTGCACAGATGCTCTGCCTTGGTGGACAGCAACTCCTCCTAGGCTCTTGCTTGTCATGGAGCCAATCGAATTGCCTACAAATTATATTCTTTTGCATCTTCACTAGTTAGATAGTTGCCTCCATGAACCCCTTGCTCTGGGGGAACTTGGCCAGTGTGGGGTAAGTTAGTTGTTCCTGGATGCTTCCATAATTCTGCTTATCAAGATAATTTAAGTTTGTTCTTTAAGAATGAAAGCCTGCGGCATGCATACTTGATTTTGGAACTTCTTGGCTGACAAGAGCTGCCAGGATAGGCCTAGCACTAGCCCTACTTATACAGTAAGTGTCCTGCACGCACACTGCACTAGTAAGCAGAGTGCCAGAAGTTCATCAGCCAAAGGAACAAGAAGTATCCAGTTACAAACAGTCCAAGGTCAGAGGCCAGAGATTAGAACAGAGTCTGAGAAGGAGCAGCATGGTAGCAGAGTCAAGAAACAGACCAGGGCCA